GTGCAGCCCTGTCCCGACGGGAGCTTGTCAGCCGGCCCGCAGGGTCCGGTGGAGCCCTGCCTGCTTCGGGATGGTGGTGAGGAGCTGAGGCTGCTTGTGGCTCTTTGCACACATGCAGTGCTGCTGGCAGGCACTGGCTGACAGCTTCTGCTGCCTTTTTTTTAGTTTTCTTTTTTTTTTTGCTGGTGTCAGTGCATTTTTTCTATCTCCTTATCACAGAGAAGTGAAGTTTCTATTTCTGGGTAGTTAAAGATTTATGTGATAAAGGAAAGACACCTATAAAATAGGTGGAACTGCTATTTGCATTTCAGCCTGTGGTGTGAAGAGGCCACAGGCCTCTCTGTCACCTTTTTCCACTTTGAAATAACATAGGCTACTGAGATTGCTTGTAAATAGGCTCGGTATGTAGCTAATATGTGACATACTGAAGTCTGAGATGCCGTAATTCAAGAGTGGAGCGGAGATTTTGGGTGGTGTAGCTTAGCTTGTGCGTTATGAAGAATGAAGTGCTGGGTTTGTGGCTGATGGGAGCCTAAAAGCCAAACCTGACCCCGGGGCTGCTGAATTGGGTTTAAGGACCGGATCCAAAGTCTGTAAAAGTCAATGAAAAGACACCCATGGTCTTCAGATAATGCTTTTGTTAAGACTTCTAGGACTACAGCTCCTTCACCCATGCTCCTAACTCATTTTTTTTCTGCAGAGGGATCCATAATGCTGGATATCTTTTGCTGCGTGTGCCTGTATGTTCTGTAACAATAAAGCAATAAAAGGCAGGTTGCAAAAATGTGATATAGGCTTAAAAATCACAGTATGGAGAAGACTACAAATAACCATTGCTTCCTAGTATTTGTCTTCTTGTTTCTAAAGCTTTAAGTTACTCTCACTTCACATTTTCAAATACTTTTCCATAACTAAGCAGAATAGAAACCTGCTTTTTTGTTTTGGTGACATTTTCTGAGGAGAGATAAGATTTTTTTTTTTTTTTTTTTTTTAAATGCAATCTCTTCACCCAGCTGCTGGGCTTTAAGGAAAGCACCAGCTATGGCAGGGCTTGAGATAACAGCACAGGAGCTGACCCCGCAGAGGGTTAACAAACTATCAGGAGAGAGATTTACTGCTTTTCTCAGCGTGGCTCCGAAGCTGAGGGTTCAGGAGTCTCTTGTTCGCTCCAGCCCCGTGATGGCCCTGCTTGAACTGAAATCGCTCAGAAGGAAGCTGGTGGCCTGCAGTTCCCTGTCTGGTGGTGGCTGTGGCCTCAGCTGTTACGGAGGAAGCAGGACCATGAACTCTGTTTACAGAGTCAGGTGAAAAAGCCTCCCCATCCACCTGAATGTTACTTCATCTTTGGGGCAGTAATGAACTGCAGGCAGGGGTGGTGTCGGACATTTACTAGATATTCATCCTGTTTGCTTCAGACCGTGTGCATTATTCAGGATGACTGGATGCAATCATTAGCTCATTTTGCTTAAATATGAAACAAAATGCTCCGGTATGGCACTAGTCCCCAAATCAAGAGGTCAACAGTGCCCACACCTGCTCTGGAGAAAAATCGGAAGTCCTTGGAGAAGCAGTTTGGCAGCTCTTTGCAGAAGCCTTTTTCTTTAGCGTTCCATGCTGGGTTTCTGTATGGGGAATGCTTTGAACCAAGCAGAAGACATCTGTAATAGCAATTACCTTCTAATGTGCCCTTATTCACCACTATAAACTGATCACAACATCCTGCAGGATTGAAGATGTGGAGTTACATTCTTCCTCTGGACGCACTTGATTTAGACCTAAGCGGGGCAGACCTAATAGGAAAAAAACCCACAAGCTTGATCCTGACTACCAAAATAGCAGGCAAGGAATGAGAGAATAGCCTTTTTAGTGAAGGAAAATTGAATTACGTTTAATATTAATTCCTAAATTACTCTCATATGAGGTAAAAAAAGCAAGGCTTGAGGGTTTTTGGATAATGTCAAGGTTGAAAGAAGCCTTGAGGAGAAATTGTGACTTTTTTTTACTGTTCAAAAGAATGGAAGTAGTGCTTCAAAGTGCCTTCTGGCAAGAAACTTTCACTTTAGTAAATTATTGGATGTGTCTGATGCCAGTGATGTGAAAAACTACAGATCGGTGCACAACAAAACTGAGGCAGGTATTCTGCAGCAAGCAGTGATTCCTGGTAGGGTGAAGAACAGGGAACAGACTGGGGATACCAACATGATGGTTTCTCAGGCATTACCCCTCTGTAGTAATGTTTGGCTGTCTTTACCTGTGTACATCCCAAATATAAGGAGTCTTTTACTATACAGTCTTCAAGCATACTACAGAATGGCAGAGTAGTTGAGGTTGGAGGGGACCTCTGGAGATCGCCCACTCCAACCCCATGCTCAGAGCAGGGTCAGTTACGGCAGGTTGCTCAGGACTATGTCCAGTCAGGATGGGGACTCTACAACCTCTTTGGACAGCCTGTTCCAGTGTTTGATCATTCATACAGGGAAAAAAAAAAACAACAAAAAACCTGTTTTTTTTCCTAATGTTTAAACATGATTTCCTGTATTTCGGTTCATGCCCATTGCCTCTTGTCCTGTCACTGGGCACCACTGAGACGAGTCTGGCTCCATCTGACTCTTGTATCCGTGTAGATATATTAAGATAAATACAAAAACTGTAGGCAATTAAAGTAACACAGAAAGAATGAGTAAATGACAGATTCAAAATACCAAACTTCAAAGCAGTGGCATTTGATTTTGTTTGAAACTGGTGCTTTGCCTGACACTTTCTGATGTGTTTCTCGATGTGCTGTGGGACAGCAAAGCCAGTATGTTCAGCTGTGGGGTAAAGTAATGATAGAGGGTGGGATTCAGCTGGTTGTACGTAGATGCCTTCATCTGAGGTTGCCACCGAGACTCTCTAGACAGCCACCAGAGAGAAACGGGTTATTCCATAGATGTCGTCTTGAAGTCATCCCTGTTCGGGTGAGCTCCCTAGAGATCCCTTTGTATCTTCACTGATCAGACGGGGAGCCCAGATGGTCAGGTTAGATGCAGGTGTCTGCATGTGATAGATGGATCCTGCACAAAGTGCCCGTGGAGGGGCTATGTGTCTCCAGAGCAGCACTGATACTGGGGATCGGTGGGGATCAGTCTTGGAGCTTAATGAGCAAACAGAGGAGATGGTCGTAGGAACAGCAGCTTACAGGTGTTCACGTGGTGGGATGGCTGCCCTCAGACCAGGCTCCTCTGGGGAGAAGACTGCCTTCCCATGGCACTGGTGTGTCCAGCAGAGCCCATGGGGCCCTGCTTGTGTCTGTGGGACAGACCTGGCCCTTAGCTGTCCCATGGCCCCATGGCAGCCCCATGCACTAGAGGCTGAGCATGTCTCCCTTGGATCTGCTCTCAAGGCGGCTCGCTGGAGGCAGCTAGCGCTACCTGGTGTGCTGTTTAAAAGCTGCTCTAGATTTATGAACATGACCCCAGGACGTTGTGATTGAGGGTTTGGTTCCCTGCCCCTCAGGAGTCAGTCCTGCTGGAATTTCTATACGATGACGTTTGAAAGGGAGTGTAAAAGAAATCTTGTCAGAGTTCTGGGAATCTGCCCAGGCGCGTGTTTGTGTCGGTTACTGTGGTGGGGTCTTGCGGGGCGCAACCTGTAAAGCCATTGCTTGCAAGTGGGGAAATTCTTCTCCTTTGCCGAACTGCTGAGCAGAACCAAATTCTTCAGAGCTCTGGACCATGAATGTGCCATTTCGGTGGGTTTGTGTCCTCTGGCAGATCACGGATGAATTACAACCCTTTTTGTTTTCTATGTGACTAATGGGGTAAACTGCGTTTAGGCTAAAACATATTTGTTCCACTTTTGGTATCTTCGCCCCTGCCCTGCTTTTTGCGCCCCCCCCCCCCTTTTTTTTTTTTTTTTTGCTAAAGACCTTAAAGAAAGCAAAGGTCCTTTGCTGGTACGACATGTTGAGGTTAATTCTGACCCACTAGATCACATACTACAGCTGCTTGCACTTAGCAGCTTGGCGTGAGATGCTACCGAAGGTGACCTTCACGGTGCCTAGTAAGAATATAAAGCTCTTGAATCCCCCTCTGAGTGACGTACACCTAATGCTAAAGGTGGGATAGATGTTTTCAAAGTTACATATCATCTTTAGAAGAGCAGGAGGCTATTACTCTGAGGACATCCGGATGCACTGCTTGTTCTGTGTAATGTCCCGCTTGATGGTGCCTTACTTATACTGCTGCTAACAAAAAATAATATACTGATGTATACCTTTAGCCTGTTGTACAGTGACTTAAATCACTTGTTATTGCTAGTCCATTTGTATTTTTCTAAGCATTTGTGTTCCACCAGCACACTCAGAGCGAGTACTCTCGAGGGGGAATTTCCTTCCTGATAAACAATTCTGCAATGTGA